TCCTTTGTCCTGGGAAGTCGGTTGATAAAGTTAGCAGAATTTATGCCGTGAGGGGGAGTTGCACGAGCTCCCTCTGTCAGATACTTCCTATTTCCATATCTCTAGAAACTTCTTTAGTCTCTCAAAAACTTCTAGCAATCACTAGAAGCGTTTTTTAATCGCAGTGAAACTTCAGAGTTCTGGTGTTCAAAGAAAAAAAGCGGCACCACAGAAAAGACAAAATTCTGGTTTTAACCTTTAGAGCCTTCTGACCTTAAATCTGGGGTTTGTCATAGAGGCCCTATTGCCAGTTCGGGAAGGGTATGAGGGACCAGATGGAAGATGTGTGGTTGGCTTCTAAATATGCTGCTTTGACATGCCTTGGTGAGAGTTTGTATTTTTTGCAGGTAGCACAGGATCAGGTTAGAGTTCTGATTTGCGTAGCTGCCCGGTCTGCTGCGTCTCGGATCCCTGAACATGGTAAAAGGCAGCGAGTGTCTGCCTGTTCCATGCAGTGCTCACATTTTGATGCTGGAGAAGTAGCAGATTATTAAAAAAAAAAATAAATTAAAAGTAGGTGACTAGAGAATACTGGGAAGAGAACAGGTTGTGAAAGCCTCAAAAAAGGTGAGATTGTGGATTGCTAAGGCAAATGACTGTAGAGGTAGTGAAGTCCAGCCTTCATGGATTTTATTTTTCTACTAATTGCCAGAGTGTATAATACACCAATTGAAATCAGGGGTCTAGCTCTGACCTACTGTACACCAATTTTGTACTGGTATCATTGCACTGATTCCGGGCGAGTTTGGTGGGGTTTTGTTGTTTGGTTTTTTTTATTATTATTATTTGTTCATTAGCTTTGTATCAGAATAGTATCCAGAGGTCTTTATCTGGTATTGCTTAAAGTGCTTGTGTTATTTCTAGCATAAGTATTTAAGTTTAGAAATGGGAATATTGTCAATCACAATATGAACAGAAAAATCAGGTTTCCCAGTCCGAAAGGGAAATGTAAACCTTATGGAAAACAGGGTTGCCATGTTGAGTATATGAAAAAAGTGAAACTTGAGTCTCTTGAAAAATAAATAAATGCAAAAGAATAATGTTGTATAAATACTAAAAATGAGACATTAATAGCTTTCATGTTGGAAAACTTGAGGAATATGGCATTTGGAAAAGCTTAATAAATTTCCATTAAGTGCAGTTATTACTTTAAAGAACAGATTGGCTGCTTTTAAATTACTATATAGATACATATATGTGATGTAGTTTAGGTTAGTTACCAGATTGAGGTTATTTTCATATGTCTCTGTGCCGCTATCTCAGTGAGGGTGCATGGTGGTGTGTTTTGAGTTTAGACATATACACTTAGGGTACCCTGTAATAAGCTAGTGTAAATCTTGTCATTTTCAAATCCCTAGTTGCCATTTTAATAATAAAATATTCTACTGAATCACCTTCTTAATCATTAAGTTGGTTAATGGTTAAATGCTGCTAAAATTTAACCTTTGGTCTACCTCTCACCATTAATAAATTTTAGTTGCTATTAAATCATAACTATGTAAATTATTTCATCTGTGACAGAGTGGTGACTTGGATTTTTGCCTTCCTTGGGGGAGAAATGAATAGATTAGTTTTATAATGCTAATAACTGCTGTAGGGTAAGAGGATGGTGTGCTGTGTGAGGTCAGGCATCCCTTTTCACACTGGGCGTACTCTACGTAGGAAACTGAGCAGGTAGTGTTTTTTCTGGGTTGTGGTGTTTGGGTTTTTTTTAACCTTTTATGCATCCAGAGAGGTCCTTTTCAGCTTAAGAATCTGGCAGAAGCTGTCCACATTGCCTTGGCTTTGGGTAGAGGGTGCTGGCATTTCAGTCCTGTAGTCAGTCGCAGGGTGGTGAGAGGCAGAGTAGGAGGTTGACAGGGGTTGGTTGCAAGAAGTTGAAATTTGGAAAGCAGACTCCCAAGGGTGTGATTCCTTCAGTGAAAAACACTATTGGTATAGAAGCATTTTTATATCTTTTCTTTAAAGGAGGGACACCAGTCCACACTACTGTATAGCTGCCCTTGAACAAATGTTCACCTTGTATGAACAGTTTTCCAGGTCCTTCGGTTCCCTTTTGCCTAGCTAAAGTAATGCAGAGCTTTGACTCAGAGCTAGACAGTTTCGATTAGTATTGGAGAAAACTCAAATTTGAACTTCAAGAATCCTGTTATGGGCAAGGCTTCATATCCTCGCCCTGTGAGATCTGTCAATATTGTTCCCTATTTTTATATACATTTAAAATGAACACCAGAGAGATTGGCTGGTCTTGCTTTTTGTGTAGTGTAGATATAGTTGATACTGGTCTTGCTAGCCAGACTGGGGAACCTCTTGAGAAGAAAATAAAATCCTTGCAAGTGCTTGTGAAATCGGAGTGCTGGCAGTCAGTGTTAGACTTCTGGGGAGGCAAAAGTAGTATGGTATAATAATTCCTAAGTGTTACTGTGTTGGCTGCTAGAGCTAACCTTCATTGGGGTGAGATTCTGTTAACCTTTGTTAAACTGTCTGGTTTAACTCGAGTAATGTGAGATAACATGTTAGAATAGATTTTGCGTGGAAGGAAGCATCTCATTTTCTTGTTTAAATGCTTTGTCTAGAACACTGAACTCAGGGGTAATGATAGAGTGGTGGTGAAGAAAGTACTTGAATAAAGCAAAAAAACCCTGCCTAATCCTTTACCTGATTAACTTTCAAGAACATTTAAATCTTGTTGAGGAAAGGTAAGTGACATTCCTAACTATAGATGCAGAGATCTGTAAGCTGGTGCCAACTGTTGCTGATTAAATTCTTGTATCACAGCAGAGCCATCTTGAGGTTCCTGCATTGGCAACACTGCTAATCTGGAGACAGAATAGTCAATCCATTGCCAGATTACCTGAAGTAAACCTGCAAATCCTTTGTCTATTGAAGATGATAACGCATACATCTGAGTAAATTGAATTAATGTCCAATAGGCAGACTTAGTTTTCATCATCTTAATGTTGCTTACTGTGTTTCTCAGGTTGTGAAGAGAGAAGGCAGTGGGACAGAGTCTCCAATGATAGGTGATAAAGTGACTGTCCATTACACAGGATGGCTTCTTGATGGCACTAAATTTGACTCCAGTCTGGACAGGAGAGACAAGTTTTCATTTGACTTGGGGAAAGGTAATATCTCATGTTTGGTACTCATCGCTTTTAGTAATAATTGAGATGGGATTTCCTTGCATGTGTAGCTCCATTGCATATTAAAGTTGCTACTTAAACTTGTTTTCAGAGCTTAAAGTTTATTGTCCTAGAATGGCCCAATCTTTGAGATTTTTGTGAATGAGAAAACCGTATAGCCCTTTGAGACCTGCTGGAGAATTCGGGGGCCTGAGACAAAGCACTCCAGGCGAGCAAATTTGCCCTGAAGTGTAGTGATAAAGGGTAGTTAAATAGCCAGAATGTGTGTTTTGTTGTTTTTTTGGCAGAAGACTCAAATTCAGGAATACTTGATTGTGACCAGGGTGCACAGGGGCAGCTGTCATGCAGTATGATGAAACATAACTTCCTTTTTCCCCAAGTTCTGGAATTAACCCAAATAAAATCTTGAAGCAGTACATCTCTTCATTATCAAAAGCCTTCATTTTCTGAATCTTACTACTCAATCTGAGGGTTTTCCCTGGCAGTTCCTTACCTGCTACTTTTTTATTTGGGATATAAATTCTGCAGTGTACTGAAATTTGAGATGATATGAAGTGTACCTATTAATACAAGACTAATAGAAAGGCTGCTTGATTGAGTTGAAAGGAGCAGCAAGTAGGAGAGCTTGAGTAAGAGACAGGATTTTGTTACTTGAGTTTCCAGCTTCTCTTCACTTTTGGCTTTAGAAGGAACACTACTTTGCCTACTTTCCTCCCCCTTTCTGTTACAAGTGCATGTAACTTCTAGTTGCCATTCATGCTCCTCTTTGCCAACTGATAAAGTACCAGGCTGTTGTTTTGGATTGTTTTCAAAATATGAGCAGGCAATCTCTCACCCTAAGACCTTCCTCTTCAAAGAGTTTATTGTTATTTCCTCACACTTGAGGTTGTGCCAAGCGCTTCAGCTAGTGTCTGTATTCAGATGACTTGTATCCTCTATAGGCAAGGAAGTAAGATGAGGAAAAGAATCACTACACACTTCATCTTTCTAATGAAGAAATTTAGCCAAATTTGGGTCCCCGGGTAACTTTATAATTTGATTAGGGTTAAAGCTGTTGTACATAAATCAGAGTGAGCCCAAGTCTTTCAGCATTTCCTCTCTTTCTTTTGTGTACTAAAAGTGATGATGCTCAGTTTCACAGCTGATCATGTCTTTTATGTATGCCTAGCAATCATGTGATTTAAATTTGACTTACATAGGTGAGGTGATCAAAGCATGGGACATTGCTGTGGCGACTATGAAGGTTGGTGAAATCTGTCGGATTACATGTAAACCAGAATACGCTTATGGCTCAGCTGGGAGCCCGCCAAAGATACCTCCTAATGCTACACTGATTTTTGAGGTAAGTGGGAGCTGGTCACTGAAATGGTATGCTTTAAAATAAGGCAAAAATCATATTTCACTGTAGAAAATGTGTGATATAATATCCTTTCAAGACAAGATTGTTAGGTTTTCTAAAGAGAAAAATATGGTTAATTTTAGGGTAGTGTAGGCAAAGCATAGAGTTGTAGTCTGGCTGCTGCTGATCTGCAGTGGCTCAGGTTCCCTTATTTTGGAGTTTTAAAAATATCTGAAAGTTTCCCAGTATTCATAGTTTTAATTTTACAGTTATGGAATGATTCACTGTAGGAGAGTGCAGGTTGGGGCTGTGGGGCAGGGGAGGGAGGAATGTCTCAGTGACAGACTCTGAAGTAGTTGAAGAAATGAAGTCTTTAATCCTCTTTCCACTTCGTAAGACTCAAAGTAGTAATACTTACGTTAAACATTATAAAGTTTTCAACAACAGAAAGATCAATTAATGTCCTCAGTAATATATCTTTAATACTTTTTTATGTTTTCTTTGCAACATTAACACAATGTTTTATGAGCTATTTGGGGGAGAAAAGAGATAATTACCCCATATAACCTACTAGAGTATAAGCTCTATTTGAACAGCCCTGCAACTATGAACTCTGTTTTCTGCAGAGCTGAGCATTTTAATAAGCACCTTAAAGCACCACAAGAACAGTTTGGACTCAGGTCGCTTGTTGTTTACCGAAGTCTGTCTGTGGATCTAGCCTACATTGGTCAGTGTTACCATCGTAGGAAGTCCTTTGTACACACTTGGTCCCTGTGACAGATTCAGCAGTCTTGACTTTTGGTGCCTGGGTAATGCTAGTTTTACAATGTACGTGGACAGTTGGTCTCCTCAGAGGTGAACTGCATGTCTTGGTGAGCATGGAGCCAGTTAGCATGGGTGTTTCTTAACTTCACCAGCAGAGGAGAGAACTAGTTCCCTAGCGGTCTTCTAGGCATCTTCCCCTCTCCCCACCCCCTACTCCTTCCCAAAGGGGGGTGGAAATAGCAGCTGTCTCCTGTGTATTATTTCAGTAGTGAGAGTGGATGCTCTGAATGCTGGAACTCGTGTTTGATTTGATCATCCATAGAGGATGATATTAAAGCTGTTTCTGGAGCATGCTCTGACAAACAGTATGAACAGTGTTTTGGGAGGGTATATTTTTATTGTCGAAACAGTAAAATTTTCCAATAAATTAATTGCACCTGAGACAAAGCAGATGGACTCTTTTAAAAGTGTGGTTTTAAAAATTACTTTGTTCTAAAATACTTAACGGAATGGACTCCAACTTTGGGGGCATAAGGAAGGCTTTTAAACTCTGATGATTGCTCTCAGATTAAATGTTTTGTCTGATATCTGAGAAAGGTAGAAACAGCTCATGGAGTAGAGACTGAAAGCCTATTTAGGTTTTAATGGAGACAATGAGTATCTGTTAAGAAGGGTAAATTAAATGTAGTTGGATATTGTATTAAATTTGGATAGTGTATTTGCATTTCTTTTTTCCATGAACCTGTGAGTAATAGCATTGAAGATGTATTTTATGTGGAAGGATGCAAAAAATACTGCCAGGAGGTGCTATCCCAGGCTACTAAGGGATGAGAACTTAACTAATTTCAAGTACCTCAAAATTAATGCCATTATTTCTGCAGTTGACTGGTGAAAAATAGTTGTCTTATAAAGGTGTTCCTAAGCAGCATTTTTTTATCTATAAATCTGGAAATACTCATGGCTTATCTGTATTGGATCAGACTATACATGCTGGAATGCTGTGTGCTTTGCACAAATGTAAGTGATTCTAAGTGTAATACAGGGCAGGATTGGAGGGGGAGATAAAAATACACATATTTACTGTGTTCTGACTTGGTGATTCAAATGTAAACTTTTTTTTTCCCCCCTCCTACCCCTCAACCTTTTTCTGCTCACTTCATTTTGGTTGTGGAAAAGGAAAAACACACAAGAACTTCAGTGTAGCAATTATTGAAGGTGTTCAGCTTCTCTGCTTTTTACTGTCCATGCACACTGTCTCAAAGCTCAAGACTTTGGCAGCATATTAAAGCATTCTTAAGGGCGTAGCACTAGTACACAGGATGCTACATCATTGTCCTGCAACAAGAGATAAGAGCTAACCTTTTGATAAATAAAAGCACTAACTGCAAGATGGGATTTGTTTCATCAGTACTACTGAGTCTATCTGATACAGTCATGCGGATGCTTCACTTCCCACTAGGTTTTTCTTAATGATGCCAGTCTGACCTCTCCATCTTCTAGGTCCTGTTTAGATAAAAGTAGTGTTTCATTCATGACCCTTTATATCCCCTAATGCCTGCCTGAGGCTGCCTGTGATGGTTTTGTGCTTTCCTAACAGAGTGGCCTGCAGATGACTGGCTACAACAAATAAGCAGTGCTTGGTGTCTTCTCAATTGGGGGGTGGGGTGGTACTTAGATACAGAAAGTTTTCCTAGGTTTTATTAGGTAGGAGTGATTTCTGACTAGTATGACTCCTGGGCACTTAAGATCTCTGAAGTTTCCACTTTCTTTAGTCTTGCTCCTACGTTTCTTTTTTATTATTTAAAACAATGTCAGCCTGGTTCCTTTTGCAAGTGCCATCACCATACCAAAATTTTGTATGGGTTGCCTTAAAAAGGGCCCTCTAAAATATACATGAAAAGACTTTGTAGCTGTATTATTACCACATCAGCATTTGGCTATGACCTAAAATAATGGATGTCTTATTGTTTGGTTTTTTTTTCTGTTGTTTTTTCTTTATCATTATTGTTTTGCTGAGCAATATAAGTAGATTCTTCCATAGGATACTGTTGTTCGGGTACAAAAAAAAAAAAATGGGGAAACCCTTATGGTCATCAGTGGAATGTTCTGGAGTGACTTAGCTTGTTTGAGACAGACTGAAGAGAAAGACCAGAATATCATTTGGTACTAGGTATCCATCAACATACAAAGTGAAAGTACTGTTTGTGCTGGTGAATATTCCTTTTGCGTTACGGGTGTCTTAAATCCAGTACCGTGAACTTTTTTTTTAAATTAGGTACTTATTCTAAACAATGCTGATTATAATGGTTTGTTCTTTTGTGCTGTTTTTACTATTGTTTTAATCAAACATAGGATAACAAGATTTTTTTTTTCTTAATTTCATAGCAGCAACAACAAATTTCTTTTGGGACTAGACTATTTTTCCATCTTTTCATGGTACTGCCACTTCAGATTATGATTTGCATTAGAGACTTGGGAGGGGCATGTGAAGAATCAGGCTGGATAGTTATCTCTTACATTAACACTATCTCTTAAAAATTCTAAACAATTTGTTGCAGCAGTAAGTTTAAATGAAAGGTGGGCCAGATCATGGTTTTGTTTTGTCATTCCTCTGGAAACTTTTTTTTTTTCTGAAATGGCCCCACAATACACTGTGATAGACTAGAGGGGGAAAATGTAACGAGTAAAATAAGAACACTAATTGTTCAGACGTGCAAGGGAGAATGATACAGAAGTTTTGAAACTACTGTCCTGTGGTACAGGGGTAAGAAGATGGGGAATAGCTGAAGTCTGAAAAGATATTCTGGAATGTGTTTTAATATTGCAAGGCAAGCATTTGGAATCGGTTTGGCCTCTAGTATTCTAAGCACTTTAATGTTGATCTGAATTTGACCATAGATGGAATTAAGGATGTAATCAGGACTTAAGGATAATGATTGCATCTCTATATTTACTTTTCCTGCTCCTTTTGTCCTTGCATTACCTAAACTTCCCTGGCCCTTGGATGCAGTGACACTACTGGTGATTCTACTTGACTGTAGAGTAAAAGGGTATGGCAGCTGCTACTCAGTGTGGTAACACTGCACAGTGGCAGCTGAGAGCAAATTCTTCCTGGCTTAATGTGTTCAAAAGGTATTTTCCCTCATATTACAAAAACCAAACAAACAAGAACCCAAAAAAACCTCAACAAGCCAAACCAACCAAACAAAACCAAAAAAACAACAACAACAAAACCTCAAGCCCTGAAACCACTATACGTATTTCTGCCTGCAGACATTATCAAAAATGATATTGAAGAAGCCAACAGAATCTCTTTTTTGCAATAGTCCCTAAGCATTGTGGCTCATGTAAGCTTATAGTCAGAAGCCAGGTTCACAGTCCTTTCAGTTAAAGGATTTAATTTTTAGTATTGGGAGACCAAGATTGCTGGAGAAAAAAAGCCATAAAGGCCTGAACATAATCTGAAACTCTTCAGTAGGTTTCCATCCAGTATCAACTGAATACAGCATCTTCATAGCCTTGGCTATCTGATATCTCACAGGACAATAACTAAAATAGTGTCTTCCTGAACAGCTATAGTTTCAAAGACCTCTGGAGAACAAATTCTAAGTTACTAAACTGATATAATGAGAATAAACGCAAGGCTTGTCTTCCCTCTACAGATAGAACTTTTTGAGTTCAAGGGGGAGGACCTCACTGATGATGAAGATGGTGGCATCATCCGAAGAATCCGTAAAAAGGGGGAAGGTTACTCCAAGCCCAATGAGGGTGCTCTTGTAGAGAGTGAGTATGTTACACAAATAGTAAATGGGTTTATCATGTGAGAGGACAGAACCTTTTTCCCATTCTACAACTCCTTGCTTTGAGAGAGGAATATGTGGCTTTTCTTTCCTTTACCAAGTAACTTAACAACCTAGAGTAAGCTTTCACTGTCATTTACATTTTCCAGCAGCAACAAGGTCTATTGAGTTTAGCAGTGGAAGTTCTATTTGCTGCCAGTAGCTGCTGTGCATGGGTACCTGTTGAAAGAGAAGGCTTTGGTACTGCCTATATTGGCTGTTCTTCCTGCCCCTTACCATACACAGATGTGTTCTGACTTTCTCTGGGTTGTTCTGTTTTTTGTTACCAGTCCAGTTTGAAGGCCGATACGGAGATTGTGTTTTTGATAAGAGGGAATTGCGTTTTGAGATTGGAGAAGGTGACAACTATGATCTTCCTCATGGTCTGGAGAAAGCAATACAAAAAATGGAGAAATCGGAGGAATCCATGTTCTATCTTAAACCCAAGTATGCCGTTTCTGATCTTTTGATACATGAAGGGCTTATACCAAGCATCTGGCAAGAATGAAGTGTTTTGTTATAACGCCTTTCAGTTTTTTTCAGTGCTGTAGTAAAACTTGATCAGCCCCAAAAGTTTGATGTACAAGAAGTATAAAGCTAAGATCACTTCACCACTAGGTTGTGAGGTAGTAGCACTCCAAAACAAATTTACTTAAGTCTCTATAGTGTTGATCTCAGTGAATGTTAAAAAAAATATTGTTACTGTCTTGAACTTACATTTTGGTGGTCCCTCTTAACTAAATGGTACTTACTCTACAGCCATGCATATAAAGATATGTAAAGAACAGCTTCAGAATAGGAAAAGAGCTGATGAGCCTTCTGAGCAGCCTGATGTGACCAGACAGATAGTCCTTAGGTGATGTGGTTAGTAAAGAGTATCAGAAATCGTTTCTCAGTAGAAAACATTCACTGATATTCTGAAAGCCTTTTGGAAAAAGACCTTCAAGAGTCCTGTGAGATACAAAGCAGAGTTACATACAAACCTTGGACCATTGTAAGAACTCTGGGACTAAGAACAGAGACATATGACTGCCCAACATTGTAAGCACAATTTCCTCTTTACAGTGAGAACACATCTGAAACAAGTAGAGTTTGCACTGATTGTTTCCATCAAAACAATTAATTTCAGTTTTTAAGTTTTTTAAACTGGAACTGAACCTGATGGGAGAATAAAAGTGAAGCAATCCAATCTTGAGGGTTTTCCTGCTAATATGCAGCTGCTTACTGGAGTTGCAGCACAGAACCTTTCTATAAGCGTTTATTGTTAATCAGCTGATTGGCAGTATGTTAAGTGTACAGCTGTTTACTTAATCTGTGTATTTATTGCTGTCTTTGCTTTTCTGAGAATAGTACTACAATGGAGGTGCTCTGAAGGAAACATCCATTCTCAGACCATGATTATAAGGGAGATGTATAGCTTGAAAGTTTGGGTTTTTTTTTTCCTTAAATTATGCTTTTTCTTCATGTAAGCTAAAAGAATAGGAACTGGTAACCTAGAGCCTAGAGATTAACAAAATTAACACCAGGTTTCTCCAGCTTTCTTCTACGTTGTGCTTGCTAATTTTAGAATAGCACCCAGAATTCTTCAAGCCTTTATGTCTTGTAATAATGCTGTATAGGAATCTTAGGTTTGCATGGGGTTTCTGGCTCTCCAGCTTCACATGGAGCGAATATGGCTGGCTGTGTAGTTTTGGAACTTGGTTTGTTTGTTTGTTTTCTTCCTCCCCCTGTTCCCCCAATCTTACAGCTATGGTTTTGGAAGTGCTGGGAAGGAGAAATTTCAGATCCCTCCAGATGCAGAGCTACAGTATGAAGTGAAACTCAAAAGCTTTGAAAAGGTAGGGACAAGAGATGAAGTCCTGAAGAGACTGGGAGGTGGGGGAAGAAGTGTGAGTGCAGCTTAAACAAGGATGATGGAATCCTTGAATGTTGATCTGAAATAGGGAAGCCACTGTTGTCAGAGATGATGACACACTGGGAACTCTTGGCTGAAATTGCCATTGTTCTTGCTGTATCCCCATCCGTTGCCATCTTGTGCTCTAGCCCCGTTTCCAGTAGCAGTGCAAAACTCTACTTTGCCAAGCCTATTTCTACCATACTGTTAATGGGAAGCAGCATAGCCACTTGGTTTCCCCAGAAGTTGTATTACTGATTTGAACTGTTCCTGTTTGGGTAGGCTAAGGAGTCTTGGGAAATGAACACAGATGAGAAGCTGGAACAAAGCTGCATTGTGAAGGAGAGAGGCACTCAGTACTTCAAGGTAAATTACAGTCCACAAGTAATAATAGCATTTCTTAGTCCATGTCATGAGAATGGTGATTGCTGCTTCTGTCATTTCAGAGTGGTGTTCATGGTATTCTCTGTGATGTCTTACAAGGAGGGCTGGAGGGGAAGATGTCTTAAAAAAAAAAAAGCAAGCCTCAGAGCTGGAATATCCAAAGAACTAACTCCCTGCAGAATTAGTTTTCTCTGTCAGAGCTGTTTGTTGTACCTACAAGTAATTATGGGGCATACATTGAATAGTAGTGAGGTTAGAGTATTTAAGTTCCTCTTGTGGGATAGTGCTGTCAACGAACAACATTCATGTGGGCAGAGATGTGTGGAGAAGCTGTTTCAAACAATTTGACCAGCTAAAGGGAGACTTTCCCATTATCTTGATGACACAGCAATAATTGTGCTGCTTTGAAAATACCCCATTTTCCTTGTTTTGTATCAAAACTTGAATATAAGGTGGGAGTTAAGAATGATGTTTCAGTGCTGGCCTATACCCCTAGCTTTAGTGGAGGAACCAGTAAGTATTCCTAAAGGTTTTCTGATCCTATGCAGGAATGGCTTTCAGAAGTAGTATATTTTTTATGATAGAGGTTATTTGCTGGTTACTGTGAGTTATTTTTTTCAGATCTGTTGCTCAAGGTAAGCAGAAAAGGCAAGAGGGAGATAAAAGTTACTGTGATGATATGCCTGATAATTGAACTGCTTTGTTTACAGGAGGGGAAATACAAACGGGCAGCATTACAGTATAAGAAGATTGTGTCATGGCTGGAGCATGAATCAGGACTCTCCAATGAGGAGGATACAAAAGCCAAAAGCTTAAGGCTTGCTGCCCACCTTAATCTAGCTATGTGCCATCTCAAGCTGAAGGAATACTCCCAGGCTTTGGAGAACTGCAACAAGGTAGTAAGGGTTTATTTATTCTTAAGCTGCACAAGCAGTCTGACAGTTTATCTCTCCCTTTAACTGTTTGAGGGATACCAGGCCATGTGGTGCTTAGCCTTTCTTATCATCTCACAGTTGGGAAGTACTGAATGCACAATGTAAAAATATCCAACAGGTTATTTTCATAATTATTGTCCTTTGAATATATTTTACTAACTTGCTACTACAGTGAGAATCTTCAAGTATTTAGAAATCAGAAACACTGAGGTGTGGTGAAGGTAGGCATGTTGACCAAGGTCCTTCAAAGAGCCGGAATAGAGCCAGAACAAAATCTTAGACTTGCTGGTTCTCTGTCAGATAGCCTACTATATTCGGTCCTTTTTGTACTTCTGCTATATTCAACTCACTTTGTTGGTAACCCCTGCCAAGACTCACAAATCTACATCAGAAGGTCCAGTTTCTAGCAATCTCTGGTGTTCTGACTGCATATTATTAAAAAAAGAATAATGTAGTATTCTTGAATGTGGTGGTGTTTTGTTTTTTAATACAGGCACTTGAATTGGATAGCAACAATGAAAAAGGCCTCTTCAGGCGTGGAGAAGCACACTTGGCTGTCAATGACTTTGAATTGGCACGGGGAGATTTCCAGAAAGTGATACAGTTTTATCCAAGTAACAAAGCTGCCAAAGTGCAACTGGTAACTTGTCAGCAAAAAATACGGGAGCAGCATGAGAAGGAGAAAAAGATGTATGCCAACATGTTCCAAAGGCTTGCAGACAAAGACGTAAAGGTAAGTAACACTACTCCACAAGACTATAAGAGGTGGTTTAATGTGTTAAGACGAGGAATAGTGTTTAGGTATTCAGCTTACTTCTTAGTACAGATAAATATAGTGGGAGAACACTAGAGTAGCTTCTTCTGAGGAGAAAAAAATCTGGAAATAGCCAACGGTCAAAATGATAAGACCATCTTGTTTGAACAAGACAACTAGCAGTACCAAGCATTGCACAGAATGCTTTTACTTATTTCAACTGATTTTTGCAACAGAGATGCAGTGTCAATCAGAAAGCAATTGATGAGATGCAAACATGATAATGTTCAAGAATGAAAAAAGTGCCTATTCTCCCTGAACTGATCTTCTAAAGAACAATCTATTCTGGTGCCTGAGTTACCCATCTACTGAGACCTTATGTCTGTCATGCAGATGGTGCTGAGCACCATCTTGCCTCTCATGGAGACATTAAGATGTGGTTGATGCTATCCGTCTCAAATGTCACAGATGGATTATGAAGAGTCAGAATTCAGACTGTAAGAAGATGCAATATTCTACTGTATGGATGGTTTTCCTACTAAGCTTTCACTGGAATTTTAGTAAATACTACTTCAGTTAACAATGGCAATATTTGAATACAGGTTGTAACAAGGTTGTAGCAGCTAGCAAGAAACATTCAAAGTTACTGGTGAGAATCACGTATCCTAAGAAAATGTTCAATTTGTTTTCCTTAAATCTGGTGGTCTAGAAGGACTAGGTAAACCTGTAACGTCAAAGACAAGTCTGGGATTTATATCAGACTCAAATTTTCTCAGTAACACTGGGGAGTACAGGAGCTTGCATCTAGTGAGGTTATTTTCACAGATCTTTGTGTCCACCTTCCCAGAAAATATGCAGGGAGAAAATTGTCAGATACTAGAAAATTGTCAGTTTGCTGTGGTTACCTGTGTTAGTGTCCAGGGAGTGTCCTCAAATGAACGTATCCTGACAATTCAGCCATCAGACTGTCAGCTGACAATTTCCTACGTGAAACACTTTATAAACCTCTCTTGTTCTCCTCCTCCCCCAGTCTTTCAAAATTGGATATATCTGAAATCTATTCATCTCTGAGAAGATGTATTCCATTCTTCATCTCTTACTCCGGTAAAGTAGTCATATAGTAAGCACAGGGTAATCATCCATAACTAGATGGTTCAGTGGGCAAGCTGTTCTGTTTGTGGCTCTTTTTGTTTGTGTGTGTGGTTTTTTTTGTTCTCTTCAAAGAGTAGCAGTAGATCTGTGGATTTTGTTTTGCTTCTTATGGAGGAGAAGCAGAATGGACACAGAAATGCAGACGTTCCACACTGATTGTGCAAGGAAAGTGTAATCGTCCATGTAGTCATGTATCTGGCTAAAGCAGCCTGATGTCAGCAGTCCTTGCTTATTGAAGTCTGGAAGAAAGTATTCTGTCCTTTTAGACATTGTTGCATTTAGCTAAGCAGTACTTTAAATTTTGGTAGGCTGTAATGAAAAACTCAGCATAATAAAGATACAGCAAATGAACTAGAATTATTTCCCTGTTGGGCATCTTCACTTTTGAAATTGCAGGTTTTGATTGCCAGCTGGCAGGCTCTGCTGTTGCTGTGCAGGTTCGTTTCAGCTAGTACAGGTGCTCGGAATCTGGCTTCTTCTACTAGGTGTGGGACACAGCAAGATCTGCTCTTCAGAGGGGAAGAGGGGATTGCTGAAACAAGCTATACCCACTAAAAGTGTGAAAGGGCTGCCCTTCATGCTTTTCAAAATGTACACCTTGGCCCCTAAGAAAGACCATGACCGTTGGTAGAGTCATATTCTTGGCAAAAGGCAAACTTGCAGTCTTTGCATTGCAGACTGTTTGGGATACTGCAAAGACATGATACTTAGTTTCAGTTTTCCCATCTACTTCCAGATGGAATCAGCTTAGAGAGTCATAGAATTGCCTACGTTGGAAAAGACCCTGAGTCCAACCTTTAAGCTATCACTGCCAGGTCCACCACTAAGCCATGTACCTAAGTACCACATCTACATATCTTTCAAGTACTTCCAGGGATGGTGACTCAGTCGACTTCCCTGAGCAGCCTGTTCCAATGCTTGACAAGCCTTTCGGTGAAGAAATTTTTCCTAATACCAAATCTAAACCTCCCCTGGTGCAGCTTGAGGCTTTTTCATCTCATCTCATCACTTGCTACTTGGGAAGAGAGATTGACACCCGCCTCACTGCAACCTCCTGTCAGGTAGTTGTAGAGAGCAATGAGGTCTCCCTTCAGCCTCCTTTTCTCCAGGCTAAACAGCCCCAGTTCCCTCAGCTGCTCCTCATATGTCTTGTTCTCTAGACCCTTCACCAGCTTCACCCTTCTTCAGATGTGCTCCAGCACCTCAATGTCTTTATTGTACTGAGGGGCCCAAAACCGAACACAGTATTTGAGATGTGGCCTCACCGGTGCTGAATACAAAGGGATGATCACTTCCCTAGTCCTACTGGCCCCACTATTTCTGATGCAGGCCAGGATGCTATTGGCCTGGTTCGTCCTTCTCAATACTTAGATGATCTTGGGAATGTGCATGTGTTTATGTTGTTTTTTTCTTGGAGCCATCTGACTTACTTCAAACTGATCTGGTTTTAGATTAAAAGGGATCAATGGAACAGGGAACTGTAAACAAAGGATGCTTACTCCCCAGGTCAGTCTTGGGGATTTTTCTTGCAAGAAAACATGTTTTCCTGTTAATTCATTTATCGTGTTGCCTTAGTCTGGCTCCAACAGTTTCTCTTAGTGGTAGGAGAAGTTCAAGAATTCTGGAGGACAGGGTTTGTTTACCAAATGTCTTCTGATTGCTAAGAAAGCAGCTTGGACTATAGTACTGAAATTCCTGATACCTTTGTATCTCATGGTCTGTTGAAGTTTGACAGACAACTCTTGCATCAGTAGTGCTTTTCATGAATTCAAATAGTTCATAATGTAAAGTGTGAATTCTTAAAGGGCAGGGTGTTTATCACCTTATCTTAAGCCCAGGATTGCAAGCTAACAGATTTTCTGTGCAAAGGAGACTTTGCTCTCGTGTGCTTCATGGACTGCTTCTGAGGGTGAAAGGTTGACCACTGATGCCTGAATGTTCTTTGGCTGTGGTTTCTTGTTATAGCTAAGTTGATGTAATATTTTAGTTTAAGGATTCTGACCCTTTTCCCCTCTTACTCCCCTCCTCCCACAGTGCATGGTTATGTCCTTGCTTGTTCTTGTGCAGTTCTCATCTAACCTCATAATAAAACAGATGGTTCAGGGCGCTAGGCTGGCGTGTGGAATAGCAATTTCATTGCACTAGCTTTTGAGATAAGCAGGACAAGACACTTCTACCTCCCTTTACTGTGTTTGAAAATTATTGCAAGGTCAGGATGTGCTGGTTAATGTCCTATTGTAAAAACTGACCTCAGACCCTTACTACATGGCTCTCTGCTTTCCATACCTTTTTATGTGGACTGGAAGGTACAGCAAGGAGAGGGCTTTTAGAGCAACCACTTCATCAGATCAGATTTTCTTCCAACTAAGCTCTTACAGAGGACGTCCAAGTGACTGTTGTCAAGTTGAAGTCACTCTTAATGAAACTAGTTGTCAAACAAAGATACTTCTTCCTATACCGAGTCCAAGTGCACCTCATACCCTGCTCACACCCCCCATTGGATGGGAATTGCTGAAATTGAATCACATCGAAATTGAATTGGGACGAAAGTAGTTCTGTGCAGAAGCTTCCTAAATGAATTTCAGTTTGCGGGAGAACATGTTATGTGGCAAGCATGTGCATGCCATGTTTTGAATCCAACCATCTTAATACCACTCAGCCTCCTCTAAACTGCTTCTGCTGTTTTAGATGCAGAAAAATGCAAAGAAATTACTGGTTTCTCTTGGCTGAAGAGAATATCTTATTTCAGTTTTGGAGGGAGACGAGGTATCCTAATGATAAGAATCAAGTAGTGTTTGTGGTATTGTTTGCAAATGCTAGCAATTCAATAACAAAATATTTTCTTTTTATTTAGTCAGCTGCTACTCTTCAAACCAGCCACACTGAAGATGCAGAAATGAAAGATGAGCAGAATGGAGTTGAAGATAAATCGGAAGTTGACACAGAAGCATAAAACCAAACCCTATTCCATTAGTTTTGTAAATGAAAGAATTTCCAGTAAATTAGACCTTTATTTTTCTACCCGTTTGGACAGTGGCTTCAGGGGAGGGAGCAGAAGCTGAAGCCACCATGCCACAGTCAGTTACAGCTTTATATGTCTGCTGATTGGCAGCATAAATCTGGTTTAATTTTAGGGACTTTATTTATTCATTCAGCCTCTCTGTTTGGGTTCTGTCTGGATTTACTCTGGTTGGTTTATTTGCATTTTGCCATTGGTGTTTTTCTCTTTCTGGTTCCAGTTCACTTTAATCCCAGGTTCTGCTTCCTAAATTTATTTTCTTGATTTCTTTCAAGTAATCAGCCTTTTCCAGGAGTCCTTACATGAGAGTTGAGAACAAATTGGCACTCCCAGTTCTTCTGCCTTAGCATTACCACCCTGTTCAGTGGCGAGTCCCTTCCATTAAGTGTTACAACCTTCCTTGTATCCCTCCTCTCTGCAGCTTGCTGAAGGTGAAGACTGAAGTCACAGCTTAAGTAATAAAGCTCCAATTAAACTCAAGAAAACAGAACTTTTTTTGTGGGGTTTTTATTGGAATTCGCACAGAATTTAAGAGAAGTTACTGTCATTGGTCATTTTCTCATCAACATGATTGTACAGTAACCACAGTATCTGATTATTTTTCTGTTGTTTATTCATTGCCATTGAAAATTCCCACAGATGATGCAGTATTTACCCATATATTTGCAAAAGGAAAAAATATGTTGTTGAAAATTGTGTAAAAAGGAAGTCTGTACCCTATGCATATAGCTTATTTTCTGTTCATATTGCTACCTTCCTCTTCACCCTCCACATAGTAAAACTGGACCACAAGAAAACCATTTATACCTGAAAGTGACTGGCTTTGAAGAGAAAATAAGTGATAATGGTTTAACACATTACAAATACTTCTAATTCCTAATGAACTACGAACTTCTGAGTGATTCTAACATCTGTTTATCCCGATCTCACAAGAAAGTTATTGATACTCTGCTTCTTTCTGCAGTATGTTGTGTGTCTTGTTTGGGGGCAGGTGTGCTTTTGGGTTTTGTGTGTACTTTTTGTTGGGGTGGATTTTTTGTTAGTCTGCAGGCATGGAACATAGTACTCCAACTCACCTTCTCTATTTATCCTGTTATGTAGTGTTAAACTCAGCATCTCCATTGTCCTGTTCTGAGACCTTCTAGCAGCAGGGACACTTTCTTGCCTGCTCTGCAGGAGTAAGGTAGATAATCCGTTCCTTTCAGATACAAAAATTGATTTTCTGCAGTGAGAAAGATGTCTTGTCTTTCCATGGCATGGGATAGGCTGGAATTGTGTGTATATTATAGAGAGTATCCCTGTTTTAACATGAGTGACATCTGAAGTCTTAGTTTGAATTCCTGGTCTCCTTTGTTGAGACAGAAGTACTGGATAAGCACTTATTCATGGGGTTCTTAACAGGCTGGGACGTTGCTAGTACCTGCGCCCACAGGAGTGCCAGCTTCCGCCTGGCAGCCTCTGTCACTGAACTGTCACCAAAGTGGTATTGGCCTGCTTGACATGCTGTCCTGCACTCAGGCCCAAGACAAGAAGTTCACCACCTCTCCAGTTGGAGCTAGCTGAGGGAGCTGTGACCCGCACTGCTCTCTGCATGGTGTAGCAATGCCCTAAGCTTCAGTGGGGTGGGGGAAGGATAGAAGAGGCAGGATAAAATGCTTGGCAGGTCATCACACTTAAGGAAATGGTGATTAGGATAGAAGAGGCAGGATAAAATGCTTGGTAGGTCATCACACTTAAAGAAATGGTGATTTGATTTACTCTAGCAAAACCTTAGAGTTGTCAGGTAGTGGAAGTGCTTTTTGAGTTCCAACTGTCTCAATAGTATCTCCCTTTGTAAGAAAGCATGACTAGCTCAAAGAGGAACATTGCAGACACATTACAACACAGTGTGAAGAATGTGGATTTCCAGAGGCAGAAGCACTGTAAGGGGAACAGAATTCTCCTATAGGGATGACTGTTCTTCAACATGTTTCTGAAAGCAAAAATTTATATCTGTAGACCATCTGAAAAATTCCTAGAGTCAATAGTGGATATGTTAAGTACTTGAAAGTACCATTTTGCCCTCATTGTTACTACATATTAAATTATGAAATGTTTAAGAATGTAAACCTATTCAGGACACTAACCTTGCTCTGTTCAGGCAGCTGTAATGAGGTTCCATGCTGTGTTTAAAAATGGGTCTAGTTGCCAGCGGAAGATGGCGTGCTAGTGTTTGTGAGGTCATGCATGTAAACTTCATTATGTCCTCATGCAAAAACGCTTACAATAAAGTACTGACTTCATAAACCACACACATCTGTCTCAATGTATAATTCCATCATCCTGTGCTGTATTTTTGTAATAGTTGTGCAGGATCTTGGAAGCAACCCAAGTATCGCTATCACCTCTGAAAGTGGCAACACCCCCTCTTAACCCAACCCGCAACAGAGGCACGAGGGAACTGCTCCGTGCTGACCGTGCCCTCGGATGCGACTAGGAATTCTTCGGCTCGTTTGCAGAAGGCGGTAAGGAAGTGGTATTGCTGGGAAACGAGC